GACATTTATTTTTTTTTTTGTTTGAACTCACATCTTCATTTCAATATTTTATATTTCTGGGATATAGCCTGGATCCCAAGAACTTAGATATGAAATTTTGCTTTACTCCTAACTTAGTGGTGGCCTTTCATAAGTTATTTACTTTTCCTATCATGAGGCATCACATTTAAAAAAATGTATTTCTATAACATAATAATAATTTGTGCTTTTTGTAGAAGTATAAAAATTATGAGTAATGGCTTGATAAGAAATATGAAAATATTTTGGATTTTATGAAAAATACAAGCTGTGTGAAAATAACAATACCTGTGAAAGCCTAATTTTGTTTTTATATAAAATATTTTTATTGCAATGGTACACCAAAGGGGGAATGTTTATTTGCAAACATTGTTAAAATTGGTTATAGAGCCTTGATTAATTGAACTGGTTAGCCGTTTTATTTTCTTTGGATATTTCTAGTGTTTAGCTATACAGTTATAGTCATATTTATATTTGCATATAGTCATATTTATTTTCCTACATAATTGTCTAAAGTTTGGGTGTTAATTATACTGTTGAAACTAAACATTCTTCTTTCTGCAGCATACCAACTTTCTCTTGTTTGGAGTTTCAGTCCCTGGTGTTTTTAGAAACAATGCTGCTTCTCCTCATGGTCATTTGGAAGACAAATTTAGAGATGACATAATTTGTTTTTGATTGCAGTAAACTAAATTAGTCTGTTTCTGACAGAGCCTCTCAGGAGACTGCAGCTATGAAGTCAGAATTCTTAGTCCAGATTAATCTTTTTCAGCAGTAAACGTAAAACATAATATTTCAAAGTTATATTTGTCACATGACCTTCAGTGGTTGATTATAATTGGATCTGCATTGCTGATATATTGCAAAGACTGATTACACACGTGAATAATGTTGTTATTTTATTGTTACTTTGAAAATGTGGTGAAACAAAAGAATCCTAGTATATAATAACTAAAAAACATATTAACAACTAGAATTATGAGACTCGTATTAGCTGAATTGCCAAATATCAGAGTATGTGGCAGAAGTGAAAGTAATATTTGGTGTTTTTCTTCCAAAAATTTTTTTTCACACTATTATGCCTTGCTGGAAAACAAGGTATCTTGTTTTGATGATTAGTCAAAAATATTTCATATTATGGCCTATGTTAGGAAGCACTAAAGTAACTTTTTCTGGAAAAGAATGTGAATCCATCCTTGAAGAACTAATAAAATTTGCGCATATGAGGTAAATAAGTGGTAGGGACCATTACATAAATAAAGAGCTAAATTTGGGGAAGCTCTTTAGGAATATACAAAATTGTGTTTCAGATTACATGTGTCCATTTGCAGTGGAAACTTAGAGTGACAGGTCAGAGAATATGCTACCTTAGAAATTCTACTATTAGCTTATAGTCTGTTCTCTGGCATGTAGGCTTCCATGCTTAGTTTTTCAGTATCTTCTATTTTATTTTTCAGGTGTAAAACACTGAAACACAAACTATGGAAAGAAAAAGGCAGAAAAATACCCAAATCAAATAATAAAAGTTCAAGAGACTTTTGGGTGTAAATGTTGCTTGGTGAACTTGGAAGAGAAACAAATGTTTCCTGTTACCAAAGCAAAGTATTAATAAATAGAATGCCTGTGCTATTTCAGTGGAGTGATATCAGTCAATGACTTCAAAATGTCACATTTCATAAGCTAAATTTTTGGGGTATGTATCCCAATATACATGTATTTGATTACTTGTTTGTAAATTACCTAGTATGCATTAAACACATTTATTATTTGCATTTAAAACAAATATAGTAATGAAGAGCATGAGATTAAAAAACAAAAAAACAAAAAACAGAATTCCCCAAATTTCTGTTTGTTATACCAATTAATACACTCTAGGATGTGTATGTCACAACTTAGGAACTGTTTCTCTGGAGTGTATCTCATAAACTTTACAAATTATCATGCACAAGAGGCACTCTGCTCTAGATAGTCCTTGGATGGGCAAAGGGAACAATTTCTTGTAAAACTCACATGGAGGATATTTTCTATGTAAAAACAGTTAACCTTTTCGTATCATTTAAATGACAAAGCACATTAAGTAATGCAATTTATAAACAAATTATGTTATTTTGTTAAAATGTGCAGACGGTATATTTTAAAATATAGCTTCAACTAGAAACTATAGATGAATATAGGGGTTAAAAGAAAATCTGTCACCAGAGTACATTTTCATAACCACTTAGTTATACTCATAGTATTGGAAAGACTTGGCCAGGCCCCATGGCTCACGCCTGTAATCCCAGCACTTTGGGAGGCCAAGGCGGGCGGATTACGAGGTTAGGAGATCCAGACCATTCTGACTAATACTATGAAACCCCGTCTCTACTAAAAATACAAAAAAATTAGCCGAGCGTGGTGGCGGGCGCCTGTGGTCCCAGCTGCTCGGGAGGCTGGGGCAGGAGAGTGGGGTGAACCCGGGAGGCAGAGCTTGCAGTGAGCCAAGATCTCACCTCTGAACCTACGGCCTGGAAGACAGAGCCAGACTCCGTCTCAAAAAAAAAAACAAAAAAGAATTGGAAAGACTTATTATTTGTATATCTATGATTGAGAATGATAAATACTATCTTTAATTTCTGCAATGTTATTTATATTCAATTTCTAAAGAAGGATCACAGTGATATTAATTGCTGAGTCTAAAAAACTTACTGATTGTTTTAATCTGTTATAAAAAATACAATTCAATCTTTATTGCTGTAGTTGTTTCTTTTTTTTTTTTTTTTTGACGGAGTGTAACATTTATTATGCAGAAGAAATATGTGTTCACCATGTCGGCTCACTACAACCTTCGTCTTCTGAGTTCAAGCAATTCTCCTGTCCCAGCCTCTCGAGTAACTGGGAATACAGGCGCCCACCACCACGCCCGGCTAGTTACACATATATATATACAATTTTTTTTTTTTTAGTAGAGACGAGGTTTCACCATGTTGGTCAGGCTGCTCTTATACTCCTGACCTCAGGTGATCCACCCGCCTTGACCTCCCAAAGTGCTGGGACTACAGGTGTGAGCCACCACTCCCAGCCACCTGTAGTTTCATAATATGATTTTTCTGTTCTTTTTAATGATTAGTTACCTGGTTATGAACACTATGCTAAATATTTCAATCAGGAAGCAAATTCAAATGGTTATAATGAGTTTAAATGTTAAAATTGCCCTGTAGTCTTATTAGTGACATGATAATCAATTTTAGTTTATGAATCTTTGATTTGCACTATCCTATGCAAATGCCATTAGCCACTAGAACATTTCCATTATCATGGCTCTATTGAACAATACTTCTTTAGTACTTTTTGGAACTTTTTATTCCTTTTACTCAGTTTGTATTTCAGTATTTGCTTCCCCCCTGCCATGCATTCTAAATTAGTTACTTATTTGATAATTGTTTAACAAGCGTTGCTAAATGTTTTCAAGAGACCTGAAGTTTGTTAGATGCTATGTATTGCCAAGTTGCTGTCAGAAAATTACAAGACATGGTTCTTTTGTTCTGGTAATTTATATGTTATGAATAATCTGACTAACAGTCATTTGGTTAAATGTGTATTGATTTGATAAACTGTATGTTTGATCCATAAAATGTATGCATATATTTCTAATTTATTTTGAATTAACTAGACAGACACATAAATTGACATGTAGAGTGATGTTTTCTCTAGATGATAGTTTATATATAAAGGAGAGATGTGACTATAAGACTTCAAGTTACAGTTGGTTAAGGGCATCAAGTTCTGACTAAAACCTGACCATAATGAGCTTCTTCATTGGAATTGATTAGTGATAAGTTAAGAGATGTTGAGTAGCAAAGCAATTCAAGTACAGCATTAGAAGCAGAGAGAAAACAGAAAAAAGAAGGAAAATAGTTTGTTGGCTGACTTTTTCAATTTATTTATACAGTGGGGTTAAATTGTATCTGCTAAATATTTTTGGTTTAAAAATAGTATAAGCCATGTGAATATGTTTTAAAAGATCAGGATCTCATGCTGTAATTATTGGCTGTCCACATGCAAAAAATTAATCAGATCTTATGCCATTTGCCAAAACAAGTTCAACATAGATCATAGACTTAAATGTAAAACACAAAACTCTAAGACTCTTAGAAGATAGCATAGCAGAAAACCTTAGATGACCTTAGATATGGTAATAACTTTTTAGATACTACATCAAAAGCATGATTAATGAAAAAATAATTCATAAAGTTGATTTCATTAAAATTAAACTTGTCTGCTCTGCAAAAGGCAATGCCAAGAGAACAAGAAGACACATTATAGACTGGGAAAAAGTAATTGCAAAAGACATATATGATAGAGGACTGTTATCTGAAAGACACCAAGAGCTTTCAAAACTCAACAATAAGAAAACAAAAACACTAGATTAAAAAATGGGCCTTGATAGACATATTATCGAAAATACATAAAGGTAGCAAATAAACATATGAAATGATTCCCACATTATGTCATAATAAAGGGAAATAAAAGTTAAAACAACTATGAGACGTTGCTTCATGCCTATTAGAACAACCAAAATCTAGAACACACAGACACCACAGAATTCTAGCAAGGATGTGGAACAAAAGCATCACTAACTTATTGATGGTGGCAATGTAAAATGGCTAAGCCACTTTCAAAGAGTTTGGTAGTTTCTTATAAAAATAAACATACTTTTAGCATTCAGTCTACTAATTGTGCTCTATGGTATCTACTCAAAGGAGTTGCAAACTTATGTTCACACAGAACCTGCACATAGATATTTATAGTAGTTTTATTCATAATTGCCCTAACATGAAGGCAACAAAGATACACTTAGGAGATGAATGGATACGTAAAATATGGTACTCCTAGAATATGAACTATTACTATTCAGTGCTAAAAAGAAATGAATTCTCAAGCCATTGAAGGACTTTAAATACGTATTACTAAATGAAAGAAGCCAATCTGAAGAGAGTACTTACCTTATACCAACTATATGACATTCTGGAATAAACAAAACTATGGAAAGAGCAAAAAGATGAGTGACTACTAGGAGTTGTCAGTGGACAGGGAGGAGGGGAGATGGTGAATAGGTGGTACACAGAGTATTTTAAGGTCAATGGAAGTACTTTGTATAATACTATAGTGGTGGATACATGTCAGGATAAATTGTCCAAACTCTCAGAATGTGCATCAACAACAAACCCTCATGTAAATGATAAACTTTTGGTGATTTTGTGTCAACGTTGATTCATCAACTGTAATGAATGCACCACTCTAATTGGGGGATGTTGATAATGGGGAAAGGAATGCACATGTTGGGTAGAGGGTATATAGGAAAATCTCTGTACCTTCTCAAGTTTGCTTTGAAACTAAACCTGTTCTAAAAAACCATTAATTCTTAAATAACATGTATGTTATTATCAAAGGAAAGACTTTTGTTTAAGCACGAGAGCCCATTAAATATGTATGCCCAAAGGCAAGAAACCAGAAGAGAGAAATATGATTGTCAGAACAAAGTAAAGCTAAGGTCAGTAAATGTGGAGATAAATGTATTATCTATGTAATAATGTAAAATATTTGGAAATTGAAGTTAGAATATCTGGATTTGAAGTCACCTCCCTCATCTATTCCTCACTTCTCACTCTTTGTTTGCTCTTTCTACTTAGCCAAAAACCTTAAAATACCTTATAAGGAATGTCAGAAACTGGTTTCATTTTAATGTTCCAACCTCATTTTAAACCGCTCCCACACGTTCTGTGCTATGACCATTCTGTACTTTTTTTTTTCTTTCAAATGCCTAGGCTCTCTCTCATTTCTAAGGCTTTACAAATACTATAGTTTCTATTGAAGCACTTTCCATCATCCTCTTTATCTGCTTAAACCACTGCCTTTCCAACATTAGTTTCCACAGGAAGTTTTTTTGACTTTTTACACTGTAGTAAGTACTCCTGTATTTGCTCCCATTAGTATCTTACAGTCTACTGGCATTTTACTACTCTGTATTGTGCCTATGATATTCAAGAATCCTGAGGAAAGATTTCACAAATCACATTTATTACTTCTTATTTTTATAGCATTAGGCATACTAATTAATACTTTTTAAAATATTTGTTGAAAAACAAAATGCTTAGAGAATTTAAATAATACACAAAGTCACAGAGCTACTGACACGTAGGATACCGACAAAACAGCTCTACCTTGCTTCAGAGTTTTCTATCTCCAAGGCAGAATCTGATTTGACCTTATATTATTACTGCTTTGTGTTGAAAGTGCATTTTCTCAAGTTCATGCTCCCTTTTACTATACCTGTGAGTGATACAAAATGAGAGTATTTTAGGAGGGACAATATGTGGCATTTCTATTTATGCTGGAAGCTAATGTAAAATCTTATAGAGTGACTTAGGGATGATTTTTGTAAATAATATTTTGTTGGTAGATTTCAAAGCAAGCTTTTTTACAACTTTCCACATTCCATGGTCCATTGATATTAATCAACATTTCAAGGAATGGTCTTAAATCTAGCTCCCCTACATTAAGTCTTTATTTCATTAATAATAGAAATGAGGAACACACATTTTCTTTTTTGCCTAGTTCACTTAAAATTCAAAGACACAATTTTAGCCAAACACAGTAGAAAAGATGTAGTTTTGTGTATCAACAATAAAATATAACTTTATTTGGCCTTAAAAACAAGCAATAGAGTTTATTTTTAAAAGAACTCTCTATACATTCCTCTTTTCACATTGAAGATAATTTTTATATGTATATCCTAAGGTATTTTTCATCAGAAAAATACTTTAAAAATCCAAACTTTGTAAAAACTATATTGGTGAGTAACTCAATTTAGAGTTGTGGACACACAAAAAATACATTTCTACATACAGACAGGACTGGATGTCTATTGTCTTTATTCTCAAGCATCATTTCACTTATTCTGTAAATAAAACTTCTATGTCTTGTAAGGAACTCATCCATAAAGTTCAAATAGGGTAGAGATTGACTCTTAGCCACAGACCGTGGGCAGCTGTTCACAGGGCAACGGTGTTTACCTCAAGATTGAGCATCTGAAATGTGAGAGTTCAAAGTCCAAATGTGTGATTTGATACATAGGAGGGAAGGCATCAATGGTCTGAGTGTTGCCACAGACATCTTGTTCATTTTGTGACTATAAAAATAAAACTAAGCAGAAGTCGTCATGAGATATTGTGGTAGGGATTCGAAATTTTTAGTCATCAAACATTTGAAAACGTTTTCTTTACAAGTGAATCTCAGTGTGGAAGAGAAATAAAGTCGATGTTTTCTCTTCACTATTCACAAAAGCAAGACTGTAAGATGTGAAGTATACATGACCAAATAATGTCCCAATTTGGGAAGCTTATAATGAAAGAATAATGTAAAAATAGAGGAATAAAAGTTATTTAGAACAGTGACTTCAGAGTCCAGGCACATAGCAGTAAATATTCTGTTTTGTTCTGATTTTGTCACTACATTTTTCTTGGTCTAGGACCTACCCAGTGCATTGCAGCATATTTAAAATCTCTGGTCTCACATATTAAATGTTAATAGCAAATTCTCAAACCACAAATGGACCGATACATTTTAAAGGGTCCCAAAGGCATTCCCTAGTGAGAAATGTTTGGCCTTGCTGACAAAATTTGTTGTCACCTGCCTACTTTTTTGAGTCTGATTATTGAAAATTCTTGCAAATTTTGTGAGCTACAAAATATTCTCTCCAACCATTTATTTACTGCTTGAATTGGCAAAACTTGGTTTCTAATGCTGATGACTGAAAACTTTAAATAATACAGACACAAATTCCTAACAGCATATTTGAATTCCAATGATTGCAGTCATTTTTTTTTTTCTTTATTTCTACACTTAGGTAGCATGAATCAAGGGATTTTCCTTTTGTCCTATTACAGATTGAGTTGGGTTTCTGTCATGTCACCAAATGAAATATTCTTGATTAAAAATGTATGTATAAAATAAGTCAATTTTGACCTCGAGAAAAAATGAATATAAACTTGAAATATTCATGTTATATAGAGAGCTTTACCTGTGCTACTTCTACCATCTAAACACTAAGCATCAACTTTCATTTTAGAAGTGTACTCACTGTCTGCTCTTAGAATCTCTTTTTGCATAAACACGCATATTTTTCTTTAATGTCATACAGTTCTCTGTCCAAATATTAGTTGATAAAAGACTATCGTGATGGGTTTTTTTTTTTACATTTTACCTTTACATGTTATTGATTTATCTGCTTATGTGCTTGTTGTCTGCTTCCTAGAGGTAGAATGTCAGATCCATGAAAGAAAAAATTAATTTTGTTTAAAACTCCTATTCTGGCACCTAGAACACAGCACTCCAAACATCTAACAGATGCAAATATATATTGACATCTGATTTAATAAATCAGGTGCATATTTATTTTATATTTATACACATATACAATTGTCATTTTGGGAGAATTTGTAAAACTCCGATGTAGATAATGTAGATAATTATACTCCTCAATTGAAGACATATTATGATCATTCATTTTAGATGGATCTGTCTTGTTTAATGTAATTAAATTACACTAAAAATTCCTCCTTCTATGTTATTTCCTTCTCTCTCAGGTGAATACCCATTTAATGTATTATTGAGATATATCTTCCAGTAATATATATAAAACATAGTTTTTGTATGTATAGATTATTTTAATTAGCTCCAATTATATTGTTTTAGATTTTTCTTTTTATTACATTTCTATATGTATGATTTTTAAATTAAATCACATTGCTGAATATATATTCATTTTGCTTTTAACTATTTAGTAGTATTGTATATTATACATCCAACATATATTTTATTTGTTATCCTATTAATGGAATTCCAGTGTATTTTTAATTAACTGCTCCCAGTAGCTAAATTATGATGAGTACTTAAACACATATATGCTGTTTAAATTAATGGTTTTGCTGTATCATAGGTAACATGCATATTAAAGTTTAATATGTACACTTTACATATTGATTGGTTATTTTTATTGTTTTTGTTTTTGTTTTTTTGAGATCGACTCTCGCTCTGTCACTCAGGCTGGTGTGCAGTGACATGATCTTGGCTCACTGCAACCTTCGCCTCCTTGGTTCAAGAGATTTTCCTGCCTCAGCCTCCCAAGTTGCTGGGATTACAGGTAGATGCCACCATGCCTGGCCACCATACAAAAAAAAAAAAAAAAAATTTGTATTTTTAATAGAGAGGGGTTTTTATCATGTTGGCCAGGCTGGTCTTGAATTCCTGACCTCAAGCGATCTGCCCGCCTTTGCCTCCCAAAGTGCTGGGATTACAGGTGAGAGCCACCATGCCCGGCCACATTATTTATTTTTATAATGAATGTACTGTTGATGTTTCTCTTCCAAAAGATATGATGTTGTGAAATTCATATCTGAAAATTGAAGTGTTTGCTTCATGCTATTCTGAATTTTAAGTACTCTTCTCAAACACAAAAACAATTATTGCAAAATAAGGTAGAAGGTATTCATTGTAATCTAAAATTTTCTAGGTGAATTTAAAATATAACCTTATTTCATATGTAAAAAGTAAAAACAAAACGTATTTCTGCTTGCTGGTCACTCTAAGATACATAATATTTTAACTTGAATAAGATGTTTCAGTATAACATTTAATTATGAATAATGAATTATTTGCTTTTGAAATTCTAGCTTTGCCCAAATATAGTTGTATGACTAGCTTTGCAAAGAGCTGTCAATTTTATTTTTCATCAAATGCAATGTAAGGCAAAAAACTGCATCTTACATTGACTCTGGCATCATTTCAGATTTCTAATCTCTTTTTTTTTTCTGAGATGAAGTCTTGCTCTGTCACCCAAGCTGTAGCTTGGCTCACTGCAACCTCCACCTCCTGGGCGCAAGAGATTCTGCTGACTCAGCATTCCAAGTAGCTGAGATTACAAGCATGTGCCATTACACTTGGCTAATTTTTGTATTTTTAGTAGAGATGAGGTTTCACCATGTTGGCCAGGCTGCTCTTGAACTCGTAGCCTCAAGTGATCTGCCCGCCTTGGCCTCCCAAAGTGCTGGGATTACAGGCGTGAGCCACCATGCCTGGCCTCAAATTTCTAATATTTTTAAAGCAATGTTAACAATTTTCTCTGAAAGAAATGGCACCACGTATGCATTAAATTCAACTGGTTATCTTGATAAAATTGAAACCGCAACAATATAAGAGTGAATTTTGGAGGCAATATCTCTCTTGAAAACATAAAATTTGAAAATATTGTATCTCATGAATTCTAAGAGGTTTTTGTTTAAAGATAATAAGACACAGGTGTGACTGTCAGTACCATACCTATTTATGAACAAAAAATTCAAAATTTTTTATTATAAATTCTAATACTGCTCATTTATGTGGTAATTATGATGACTTTTGTATATTATTATTCATATACAATCACTACTTATGGAAGATAAAATGAAGATGTGTACGTGTGTGAGAGCACATGTTAAAATTGTGTAGAAAGAGATAGCTTATAAATATGGTAAAAGCATATACATTAAATATAGTACCATATAGTTTTAGTAAATGTGATTCAAAAATACTACAGGGACATGCATTCTGATATGAAAAAAGTAATACACTATGGGAGAAAAGAAACAGTGTTTTTTGCTTCATAAACCTAGGATGTACACCACAGCTAATAAAATTCTTAGTATTTGTTGTGTTAATTTGAAAGAAGTTGAAGAAGTGATGTGTATGGTGATAAGAATGCTAGATAAGGAAACAGAAGCTTTAATTCAAATCGTATGATCGCCCACACAGTGATGCTACATTTTTTGAGTGCTTGGTTACATTATTCATCTTTGCGATTGCAGTACATGAGTGTAATTGGTACCCAACATTTCACAAATAAATGAATGAATAAAATAGTTAAATAATGCAGACACTACCGCTTACTAGGTGAATGACATGGACCAAGGTAATCACTGAATTATCTTAATTTATAAAATAAGATTAAGCTCTATTTTACAATATATTTCATATAGTACATGATAGCACCATGTGAGCGTGGTGGTCTCAGGATTTACTATGCCTCAGAAATGAGTTACTGGTTTCAGAGAGCTCTTAAAGCAGTGATTAAAACTAAATTCGTGTAAAATTGGATGTAAGAAATGAGTTGATAGGTTATTCAGAAAAACAAATTAATTACCTAAACATAGTGTGACATTGTAAGGTGTTACTCCAAATGGCTCACTTCTAAGAAGAACAAAAAGGTCTTTATTAATAATTGTGCCAGGGTAATAGGCTAAATCATAAGTGTTCCCAGTATACTCAAATACTTCTTCAGTGGTACTGTTTGATACATGTTTGATTATAGTTATCCATAGGTTACTCAGAAATAAAACTAATATACACTATATCTTTCACAAGAAAAAGTTTCATTTCATATTTACTCCAAAATATTATGCTACCCATATCTTCTCCTCTAATATAAAAGAAAAAATATTGAAGTCAACCATAAATGTAGACTGTGTGCAAAATAAACCATATGCATAAATGAATCAAGATGTCAATTTAATAGCTGAGAAATATAGACATCACCAAGTATATCCTACATTTAATTTACTGGGGTCAGTACATTTTTAAAAAGCAATTGCCATGATATTTTAGAATGCAAATCTCTCATGCTGGTTCAATTAGATCCAGAGTTAAAATATTTTAAGTTCATCTTGTGGGTTTTTTTCAGACATATGTATCATTTAGTACACCATTATAAGTTCTTATAATGTTTTATAATTTCTGTAATTAAATAACTATAACTTAATTATACTTAAGTCAATAAATGTAACATATATACTTTGCTAAGATGGTATAATCAAAAGTATTGTTTATTTTTACCTTCTACTATGTGATAATAGCCAATCTGTTTTCCTCTGAATGTATTTTCTCCATTATTTTGTTCCTCAGAGACAAACTGATAGGAAGCTTAAAAAGCAAACAAAAAAAACAAAAAAACCCTGATACCTACAATACGTATAGTACTTCTGGGCTCACTGTTTTCCAGTTTCTAATTATCCTTTTTAATTTGCTCCTGCTTATGTTCATAGATCTCTCAATTTTTCCTGTTACCAAATACAACTGAGTAATTATAAAGCAAAGTAC